TAAGAATGTAAATTATTGGTGGGTACATAATTTGTATGAGAATAAACAAAGATACCAACTATAAAAAGTTGTATATTCACAGCAATATGGATGGAGCTGGAAGGGATTATGCTCAGTGAAATAAGTCAGAAGGAAAAAGAAAAATATGGAATGGTTTCACTTACAGGAGGAATTTAAAAGAACCAAATAAGACTGGGGGTGTGCATTGTTATTACAATACAAAACAAAACAAAAACAGACAATTATAAACCAGAGACATCCTATAGGGGATGGGGGCAGAGAGGGATCTGAAGGAGGAAGGAATGTGGCAGACTATGGTGATGACAGGTGAGGAGGGAGGAAGTAAACATTGTAAAATACACAATAATGGAAATAGATATATAAATATTTTTTAATCTATATAATTTTCTATACTATCTAATGGGACAGGATATAGATATCATTGTCAGTAGGGCATATTCCCTGATGGCTTCTGGATTTTCCATCTATCATGATCAAAAATAGCATCAGTTTTCAGGAGTTACCAAGAGCTGTCACCTGTGACTACACAGTGATTTTTGGAAAACTTTATTGCATCAGCTCTAGGGCTTTTTAGCTCTCTAAAATACTATGGGTCCTTTGCTGCTGTACAGCAAGTTACAGCAGCCCAAGCATATGTATGTTATTTGCAAAAATGTAAGTCATATTTTTCACTTTTTTTCTGAAATTTTATTTTCAGTGTTGACCTTTAACAAGTTTAGTGATATAGCATCTTTGTCTAATATTATGCATAAGTACTATATTATTACAGCTTTTTTAATGTGAGACCTAAAGATATTTTTAATTAATTGGATTTTTAAAATTTTAAACTATATCTGATGCAATTTTATAGGCAGTACCATAAATATATAATCAAAATAAAGTTTGTCCTCAAGATTGTAAAAGATAGAATTCTCATTTGATCTGTCTTTGGATTTCCAAATGCCTAATTACAAAATGCTCAAAATGTTCTGTGATATTTACAAAGTTCATTAATGAGAACTACTCATTTTGATTTTAGGAATATATTTCCAAAATTATATAAGAGGGAATTCTACTTATACATCAGTGGGAACAAAATACCTATAAGCTTATCTTAAACACATTTCAGAGTGGCTACTTCTATTACTTATTTGTAGTCATTCTCATAACCAGTATCTGACAAGATGACATCTGCCCTATGATTTGGTGACTTATTGGGTACAGTTCATTTTTTTCTTATCTTGATTTATTCCCAATTAGGATTGCCTGTATTTATTTTTCATTGTTGTACAAAATTGATCAGCATGTCTACTACTACACAATAAATGATCTTGGTGACATGCACCAAGAAGAAATGAAAGATAATTATTCCATCACTAGACTATTTTAGGCTTACTTATAGCTTGCAGTTCATGGCAACTTGTAAAAGTTTCCAGTGCTTCAAAGTAAGTGGTGCTAGAAATATGTGTAATTAACATTTATTTATTTGTTTGTTTTCTGGTGTATATGAATATTATGTACGTAAGATTATTTTTTCCAAAAAAAAAATTACATCGGAAGGTAATTACTTAGGCTCATCGACCTGCAGATTTATCTTCAGTGTGATAAAATAATGCATGCATTCTTGCTAAATTCACAATGATATATAAATAGTGCCATCTACAATGGAAAATTAACAAAAGAACCTCTTTCATCATTACAGACAGTTGAAAGAATGAATTTCTACAAAACTAGTACTCTTTTTGTCTTTCAAAAACCACTTTTCTCTTAACAGACTGTCCTAAATTTTTATTTTGAAAGGAAGTATTTTGCATGTTAGAAGGTAAGAAACATAAGGAGGGTAATTAAAATGGGATTTAAATAATTCACTTACATTTCTCTGCCAGTAAAATAAATCATGTTCTCTTAGCTCTCCCTTATCAGCTCCAAAATATGCCTTTCAATTTACTAATATAAAAGGACAGACACAATACTGTCATCTTCCCAGATCAAATATTACTGTTTTCTGACAACAGATTTGGCAATCATTATGCGGTATGTAGTATTATGTTTTTTAAATATATCTGAACTGATGTTATTACTCTCCAAGTCCTGTCAGATGCTCTCTGCAGGAACATTTGCCAGAGATGCTATATGTTCAAATGAAAGAGTTTCGTGTTTCATACTCAGTCTCATTTATTTTCCAGACTTCTAAATTTTTCATACTAAGTAGCAGCATCTCATTCTATGGAACCATGGATCTTTATTAATTAAACAGAGTCAACAGGGCTGATTTATGCTCTCCTCTCAGTTGAATTACCAAGCATAAAACTCAGAGAGGAAATATTCCTAATACAGGAATGTTTTCCAGCCAGTAAATCTAGGATTATCTCATCATACTGATTATGTCAAAACTCTTAGTTACAGTGTTCACTAGGACATGAAATTGAATGGCCTGCACATGAAAAGCCCCACTGCAATATCACAGGGCAAATTCCAAGTTTTTTCTTACAATAATCAGAAAGTTCTAATTATCTGTAATGCTAATCCTGATCATTTATTATCTACTCTTTGCTAGGTGTATTACATGCATTAAATAAGTTTAGAAGCATTAGTTCTGGATGTTTTTACACATAACACTGCTTGTTGCCTGTGTTTGTTTTTTTCTAGAGAATTATAAAGACATATTTGGTGCTAGATTTTCAAACATGTACAAGAAGGTGTGTTGTGAATACATGATTAGTATTTCATGGTATTACTTTTGCACTTGGAGGAGGATCAGATGTTGACTTGTTGATAAAATGTTAAGGGAGGGTTACCAACAAGAATGACTGTCGTTGTTCAGTGTCCATACTACAGTTTTTGGAACTTGAACTCTACTTCTGATTATTTTAAATTATAAATTTAATGCAATGTCCATACATGGACAGTTATATTTCAAGCATGAAAATACCATTTTTAAGTCAGATAGGAAAACGTTCACTTATTTCTCAGATAATTGCTTCTATTTTTCTTCCTCCCCTTACTCTTCAATTATAGGGAAATTAAAATAATAATTTAAAGTCAAGTTTTTTCCTTTAACATACTATAATGTTCTAACAAACATTAAACATACCAAGATTTAAATTTTTTTCAAGCTTTTTCCTTTAAGCTTTAAGCAGATGCTTTATACAGGACACTGTCCTCAATTCACCTTCTGGCATTCTAGCCTTATCACGTTACACTCATTAGTATTCCTTTAAAATTACTTTCCACTTAGGCAGCTTTCCAACTTTATAAATGCCACAAAATGAAGTTAACCTGTGCAGAATCAAATGTGTTAGTCAGTTTAACCTGCATAATAAGAAATTCCATTAAGCCCTTTTAAAGAGATAATAGTAATGTGGATTACTGTCAAGAGAATAATGATTCTTTGTAGGACTTAACCACACTCTGAGATTTTGAAACTATGAAGCTGTCCCGGCCTTTACACCTTCACCTTGATTCTGAAACAACTTTAACTTTTACCCCATCCTGAAACTATCAGTAATCCTTTTCCATGGAAAAATGCATTTTTAAATATTTAGACAGAGAAATGAAACAATCTATATAGGGTGGTAAGGAGGATCTGGCCAAAATGTAGACTATGAGATTAAAAACAAGCCAAATCCAGTAAGAACAGTAAAACTAACCATTTGTGCTAGGCCCACCATTATCAATGATTATCATCAACCACCAATAAAGTAGGTGCATTTTTGTGATGGGCCCCAAACTGTGCTCTATAGGACATCAGACCTGGGTGTGCCAATGGAAACAGGTTAGTTTGAATAAAGTGCATACTCTCAGAGAACCAGAGAACATGGTATATTTAGGGACTTAAGAAATTCTACAGTAAAGAGACTGACAACTGTGTTCAACCTACTGTATCTCAAAGATTTGTAACCATAGCTTTCTCTTCATCACATAACTAATTCATTTAAAATCCTTGGAATACACTTTGGAAATGTTATTCTGTATCAGGAGGTAGTTTCAGATCCACAATCTTATTTGAGCCTCCTAAGTGCCAGCTTCAAACAGATTTGGTCTAAGGCAGCTTCTGAGATCGTATTTGGGGTAGGATGGGAGAGGGGCATCTTATGTGGATAGGTGAGGTAAGCCAGGACTAAGATCATTTACCAGACACACTTTATAAAATTTTTCCACTGCTCCCTAAACATGCCATATATCTTTTATACTTTCTTCTTACCTCTGCTTGTGTTCTTTCCTCAAATGCCTAGTCATTTTTTCTGTGGACATGTTAGGCACCATAAATTCAAAGATACATGTTCTTGCCCCCAGAGAGCTTTATGTGCAGTAAGAATGCCTCAAAAAACAAAAACAAAAAAAAAAAAAAACATGGATTAGATAGTGTTGGGAGAGCTAAAACCATGAGCACAGGTTGGAAGAATCCTGAAGGGAATTCGGTTCTTCAGTATTAGTATGACCTAACTAAATAAATCAGTCAGAACAGGGGATTGTAATTGTGTGGAAAGTTGTTGAGGCAGGAAAAAACAATGTATTTAATCTAGAAAGGAATGGCTGGCACTGAATTTTTAGCAGCAAGCAACAGTGAGGGGTTTGTCATTTAGAAAGATCTCTGGCTGGAGTAGAGAATGAATTAGAAAGGAACCAGAACAGAGGCAGAGTGATGAGCTATTTTAGTGACCCAAGCTAAAGTGCAGGAAAAGGAGAGGAAGGAAAAGATTACGGAGATGTTAGATCAAGATCATCATCTGACACGCTGATGAACCAGGTGTCAGTACGCAGAAGTGAGGAGGCAAAGATGGTACATCCTGCTGCGAACCCTTTTACCAAAGGAAAAAGAAATGGGTTTTGTTGAACTTAAGACATTTCTTAGGACTCCATGTAGCTCCTGGAACATTCTAACTGCTTCCACCAGGACTGCATGTGGGGAGGTGGTGTCTCTCAGACTGATCAGCATTAGTGTGGTGGGTAGGAGGCCAGCCCTTCAACCTGTGACTGCATTCTGTGTTCTCCTCAAGCCATGTAACACAGACCACGTCGTGGATCCACCCCGTGATGAGCGCCCTGACCCTGTCCTGCTCAGAAGAGAATGAAGAGGATTGCTTCAGAGAACCTTCAGACCAGAAGAGCTAGTGGTTTCCTGTAGGAGACTGAGCCCCATGGCCATCTAGCCACATGGACAGCTCTTGACGCAACAGTTCAAAATAGGAGTAAGACACACACTACTTACCGTGAGAAATGGAATCTCTGGATTTCGGCTATTTTTGTAAAACTTTATGGTGTCACTGTATGCATTTATAGTATCAGTTGTCACCATAGTAGTTCTTTAAGAATATCGTATTTTTGTAGTCACAGATAATTAGATTGTATAATTATGTACACTGTTCATATATATTTAGCTCTTTGTAATTTTATATATAGTTTACTGCATTAATAGTATCAGTTACCACTAAGTAGTCGAGAATAAGAATATATTTTTGAAGTCATATATGATTAGATTTTATAATATGTCCACTGTTCATATAGATTTAGCTCTTTGTAATTTTATATGTAGTTAAGGAATATCAGATACAATGGTTATCATTCATACATACTGGGATTTCTGAGAACATAGTGAAACACTTCGTGTATTTGATAATTCTCTAACCTTGTATATGCCTATCTTCAGAGAGTAATTAGGGCAAGCCCTTTGGCGTATTAAAGGATCACATTTAAACAGTTATTTCACAGGCTCTTGAATACGGCATACATCTTTATGGAGCTTTCCATTTACAAAGTGTTTTCAAAAGACCCTGTTTTATGTTGGCCATACCACAGCCTCTGAGAGAGATCTAGTGAACATTTTTATTTCAGTTAGGAAAATAGCAGCTCAGAGAAATAAGATACCTTGTCCAGCGACTGGGGCTCACACCTAAGTCTTCTGATTTCCCATCCAGTCCCTGCCACCCCCGGCCCCTGCAGTAGATCACAGCCCTTTGCACGGCCTCAGGGTGCTGTTGATGCAGCTGAGCTCCACAGCTGTGCGCACACACCCAGAAAGTGCCTCTGCAGTCAGGCGTGGCCTCCACATCACCCCGTTCTTCTCCTCAGAAGCCTCTCCCTGCTTTACCCGAACACTCAGCAAGTAGGAACGCAGCTTGCTGCGATGGTTTCTCTGCAGCACAGTCTAAAATCAAGGACTGGCTGGCATCAGAATTAATCTACTTTAGCTGCCCTTGCCAGGGGGAGTGTTTGAGGAGTCTTCCTGAGAAGAGGGCACCTGGAATGTCCTCTGCCATCCAGAGAGGCATCCAGGGACTCTTAGGAACTGACCACATTATTGCTGATATCACCCTCCAAACTAATTGTGCTTTTGATTTGACTTTGTTGTACTGTGAAGATGCTGCTAGACAGATTCTGGAAGGAATGAGTCATTGACTTGGCGTGCTGAAGATTTCTCTGTTTATTTTTTATTTTCAATTTTTGTAGATTTATTTATTTATTATTGCATATAATAACGGGGGTATAAACCAGAGGCACAAGGGGAAAGAGGATTCACCTAACAGAGGGAGGGGGGCAGACTGACTGGAACACACAGCTGAGGGGAGCGGTGGGCGACACAGGAGAGGTCTGTGCCATGTGGCTCAGCTTCCTGGCTGGGGAGCGAACTCAGCCCATAGCTGTGATGGTGCTGAGACTTAGCCCTTAGGCCTCCGTGGTTTTCTTTCAGTTTAATGCCTTTAAGCTGAAGCTGGGAAATAGAGAGTTTAGAGGAAGAAAATTATGTCCAATGTCTTCAACAATAAGAACCAACTTAATAATAAAAAGGAGCTTATTCTCACCCGATGTTATACTGTTACGTAACTTAGGAAGGAAAGTAAAAATCACTAGTTAGTGATACCGGGTTCCCAAACCTAACACCCCGAGAGGTCACCATGTGCTCACTGGCCCTCCTCACCCTTCCCTTCCCTCCCCTCCTGAAACACAGGTAGGAAAAAGGAACTCAGAACTTTGAAATTCTGGAAGGAACCTTGAAAATCACTGTGATTCCATGATTTTCAAACATCTTTTGCTAATAAAAAAAATTATTTTTCAAATGAATTCTTGTGCCAACTTCTGATACATGTGCAAATTTTTTTCAATGTTCCTGTTTTGATTGAAATAGGATGAAGAGCTGAAGCCCAGTTAAGACAGCTTCCAGCACTGCTGTGCATACCTAGAGCCCCTTAGACGATAGTGTAAGTAGTGTCCATTGTAATTTTCCATAGGTGAGTGAACTGGGAACCTAAAAGTTTCCATAGCGAGTTGGTAGCCAGGTTAAGATTAGGCCTAGATACTGAGTCTCCTCATCTACTGAATCTCAGATGTTATATCTAACCCAAGTGAATATTATACATACATGTATTTATAATACATGTATGTGTTTCAGAATGGTTTGAGACTTGTATTTTGCCTCACAGTATGAGGAACATGAGGAAGCTTCAGGAAGACAAGATTTGAGAGAAACCCCTGAGGGAACTCTTACCTTGTGTCCCCCAGAGGTGAGTGAGATTCTCAAACACCTGAAGTTACTTTTGTAAGTTAGTACCTATCATTGTGAAAGTACAGACTTTTTGTTGTTGCCAAATTAGTAGTATGAAATTGCCCTCCCCCTACTGAGAGTGTCTTTTTAATTTCTTTCTGGTGAGGAAAACACAGAGAGTTGCTAGAGTAACTTGAGACAGGTCCTCAGGCTCACAACTCGCTGACAGCCACCTCATATGTTAACTTCACTTTTTTGTTCCACTTTTCCTCGCTGCTTCTGTCAAATAGGCCTGTAATTACTGTAAGGATATTATTTAGTTACCATCTTGTGCTATATATTGTGATAGTTTGATAGTGTGGGACTTAACTGCTGTGCCACCAGGAAGGCCCATGTGCTGTAGCTATTGTAATGGGCAGTTCACAAATATTAGTTCTTTAGCTTTTTACAATTACCCAGTGAGGTAGAAACTATAGGTAGCTCCATTTTGGAAAGAAGACACTTGGGCTTAGAGCAGCAGCTCTTCTTTCCCTCAGGGTCTCAGAGCACCTGCACACGCACAAGCTGGAGCTCTAGCAGGTCTCCTAGGACCCATCCTCCCAAACCGCTGTGCAGAACTGCGTGTGAGGCTAGGGGCAGGGCTGGGGCCTGGCGTCATTTTTTTTTTATTAAAAAGTTTATTTTTACATCATTTTGCACATTTTTTTTCATCTCAATTGTAATCCCCACGGGTTTCCCATCACCAAATGGCGTCATTTTTCCAAAGAGCACTGTCCTCTTTTTACTTGCAAATATTCACTTTACTGCTTTTCATATAATGGTGGCAAGGACCAGCTTTTAAATGAGCTGTCTTGGGTGAGTGTCCTTGATTAAAGTACAAAACACAATACATGCACCCCTATAAATTCTTTGAGCCTCTATTTCCCCACCTGTGTAATGAGGATAGTAATTTCCTGTCTCTTCCTGAACTAATTCAACTCAGCAGACTTTTCCTGAGCACCTGCTAAAGAACAAACAAGACTTAAGGTCTTGAAACTTTAAGACACACTGAGTATTGCTGATTCCCAATCAAGAAGCTCATAATCCCAAACCTTTCCCTTTCTTTTCTTTTTCTCAGAAATTTTATTTTTCCTTAAAGGAATTGAGGAGTTTGCTTAGTCAGAACCCTGAATAGAGGCTTTTTATCACTCTCTTAAATTTGAATAATTCCAAAATAATATTAACAACACCCCTCAATGAGAAAGAAAAGGAACATACGGCATGAAGGACCTCTCCAAGGATAAATGTAACCAGCTGTAAAAATACAGAGTCAAATGATACTTTCATAAAGTGTTTGAAAAATTAGAAAATATTATCCTTTTCCTAGGGGGAACTGGGACGTTGTTATTTTCTCTGCTAGGTGAAGTGCAGCTTTCTTATGGGTCAGCAAACTTGAATTTTTACAAGCTATAGGGCAGAACAAACTGGACTCACAGTCAAACAACTTGTATACTGTATTGCCTATAACTTTTGATAAAATGGAAAGAACTCTAAAAAGAATATGCTTATAGAGTAACTTTAGAAATAAAAGTCCGATATGTTTTATCTGCCACTATCCACATATAATATTGTGCCTGCACAATGATTATGTATTAAATATTTAATTTAATTTCATATATTAAATATTAATTGCAATTCTGCATTTGCTTTCCTCATATGATTTTTTCCATTTAACTAATACTACTTTTGTTAATTGTTTTTAGTATGATTTTTACTCTGGAGGAAGGCTACCCAAGGGAATGTGAAATCAGTTCAATAGCTCTGACACCACCCCCACCACACACACACCAAATTATTCTCTATCACTTCACTCTGTTCATTCCTTTTATGTTATTTATCAGTTTCCAGGTAGCTGTTTTTTATTGTCCTCCTGAACAGTGAGTGTAATAATGGAAGTCAGCTCCACCAGGGAGGGATTTATCTGTGCTGATCACCTGGCCTGAGGAGTGGCACAGTAGCTGTCATGCCGTCCTTTAGTGCGTACTTTCCAAGTTGAATGTACAATGTGCTGTCCATACTGACACTTAGTTTCCAGTTTAACGCTCATGATCTCATATTCACTTAAACATTTTTATCGAATGCTACTAGGTGCCAGACCCTTTGCTCAGTCCTAGGGATAAAATGCAGAACAGACATGATCCTATCCCCATGTGATTTATATTATAGGCAAAGTCACCAAGCCTTTTTCCATTTATTTTCTTTCACCCCCTTCTTTATCCCACATTTGAACTTCTAGACCATTTAATGTTCATTGCCTCAAGAAAGGGGTGTAACATTAGAAAGGAAAGGAACACATACTCTTTTGAGTTTCAAAAGTCTGTCTCCTTTGGGAACTGGGAAGCATTCATGTGCTGTCAGTTATGGACAGCACATTGTACATTCAACTTTGAGAACATTTATAATGAGGAAGAGCAGGACTTTCCTACTCCCTATCTAGGAAATTCTTCTGCCTGTGGATGAGGAACAACAAAAATGTTGGCCTGTCTCAGAGAAAAGGTCTTCCCTGAGCCCTCCTATAGTCTCCTGGTCAAACTTTGTGTAAGTAGCAAAACTCTAGTTATGTTTGTTAGTTTGCAGAGCAAAGGAAGCCCATTTGTCACTGTTCTCTAGGATGAAAATGAAGCCTGATGTGTCTAGGCAGTGGGATCTTGAATAACGTCAGTGGGCCTCAGTCAGCCCAGTAAGGTCCCAACAGGAAGATCAGATTGGTTGCCTTGAACCCATTAGACCTGAGTGAGGATCCTTTCTATTCAATCTACATGGTCTCCCAATGAAACTATTTGGACTGAGGCATCAGCCT